TTCTTTCTTTCTTTCTTTCTTTCTTTCTTTCTTTCTTTCTTTCTTTCAGACTCATCCACAAAAGAGGCACTCAAATACATTTTCAAGGATCTTTCAGCTAAACTGGCTTCTGACGTGCTGGTATTCAGGATTTGTCATAGCTCAGTATATTTGTGGCCAAACAGTGGGATGAATTCCATGGCAACTGAGCTTTCAGATGACTCTGCCTGCAAGGAGATACTACAGTTTATTCAGTGAGTATGGCTAGACAAAAATAATGATTTTGTGGGTGGAGATGTACTGTAGATGGTATAATAATTTGTCATGATACAATCATTCTGGCACTGTTTTCCAGATTTGAACAAGAGGGCACCAAGCAGAGATTTTCAAAAAAGAAAGATAAAAAGTTACGAGAGATGGTACGTATAGCGGTGTGTACTTTTCTGTGAAATGTGAAGAATTAGGAAAGTATTTGTGAAAAATAGCAATAAGCACTTAGACTTACAGTGCTTTACAGCCCTCTCTAAGCAGTTTACGGATTTCACATATTGCCCCCAACAATTTGGGTCCTCATTTTACCCACCTTGGAAGGGTGGAAAGCTGAGTCAATCTTGAGCCTGGTGAGATTTGAACTGCCAAATTGCAGGCAGCCAGCAGGCAGCAGAAGTAGCCTGCAGTACTGTACTCTAACCACTGTGCCACTGCAGCTCTTATATAATATATTTAGTCCTTTTCTCTTAGAATCAATATTGAGTTATTTAATTTTATTGGAAATTGATTTTAGGGAAAGTGTTGGGATTCCCTGCCTGCCACTTTTCTGATTTAACATTTTTCCACAATGTGACTTTATCTGATAGGGGAAACAGAATCTTTGGAGTAATTTAGGTTATAATTTGTATATTAAAGTCATCTTTATTTTCAGCCATCAATAGTAAATATTGATCTCATGTTGGAAATTACAACCTCATTAGAGCCTTTGGCTCCAGTAATTGAAAAAGAAAGCAAAGAGCATCACTACATTAGCATGACATTACCAGTTGACGTTGTGGTCTCTATTTCTCCTGAAGAAACATGGCGCAAGTAAGTAGGTGATATAATTATGTATAATTATGTATTTTAAAGATTCCTTTAGTTTGTTTCTGTTGCAGTTTTATGTGCATCCAAATCTCCAAAAGGGTAGAATTTTCAGGCATGTAACATTAATCTAGGTTTATTCTCCTTTCCAGTTTTCATCAATTTAGGATATTTGGTAGCATTTTTTTGTTAAAAACGCCTAACTCCCTTCTTATTAAATAATTCAAAAACAGGTTGTGATGAATTAAAAACAATGATAAGGCACAGCTGAATCAGAAATACACAGCACCACTATTCTAAAAAACTGGTTGATGCCTCAGACTAAAAATACTTCGGCTAGCTGTAGTCAAATATTAAGGGAATTCACAGTTGGAGGACCTGGAGTGAAAATTCCCACACTTTGGAGATCCATAGAGCAAGTTCCATACAGATATAACCTAACTATGGCTGTATCAAACATTCAGGTCCAAAGCTATGTCAAACTTTGTATGTACTACAAATTCTTGGCAGTGCCTTCAAAATGGGATAAATTTGTTAACAGTAACTTGTCCTTTATAGCAGCCTACTTCCCCGTGTCATGTCTTAATATTACCGTTTGTTTACAACTACAGTTTGAAGAATATTTAGAAGTACAATGTAAAATACTTTGCCTTATACCCCAAAATCTGCCTTTTCCAAATTTGATTTCATCTGCAGAATCCTGAAATGCTTCCTGAAAAAAGGCTGCATCTTTTTCTAAAATGGATTAGGAACTGAAGCCAGTGTAAGAGTCAGATTCTTTAAAAACTTGTCATTGGTTCTATAGGCTTGCTATAGGAATGTATTACCATAGAGCAGCATCTTACAAATGAACGAAAAGGCAGATATAAATCTCTGAAATGTAATTGGAGACCAAGAATGTAAATCAGGCAGTACACTGATAAACATCTTTACTAGTATATGTTATATAATATCTATAGATATTGCTCAGTGTAGAAAATCTAATGAAGACAATGTGGGAGGGAAATTACTCTTTCTTGTTGTTTTACAGTGTAAGAAGCCTCCTAGTGAATGCAATTCACACACAGCTAGCAGATATGGAAAGATGCATTTTGCAACATATGAGAGGAACATCCGTTGTGGTGCCCGAACAATTTCATTTCATGTTACCAGGAAAAAAGCATCTAGTAACAGTTTCGTTTCCTACAGGCATTTCTGATGATCAGCTGGAGACTTACCGAAAGGTATCTGATGCTAAGCAAAATATTTAGAGTTATTAAACTTTTATAGATCATTAAATCATATAACGTTATTAATATATCATTCCCTTCTACTCCTCTTCTGGGTATGAATTTCAAGAGTTGATTTGATTCTAATGCATGAGTTCTGTGTACGATATTTTACCTTTTGTTGGTAAAAGAAACTGAAAAATAAAAGAATAGGGCAGGAAGTTGCATGTATTTCAGTGAAGGAAATTTACAAGGAAAGCACTTATTCACACACTGCACAATTCATCATCATCATCATCATTTTAGCTATTGTCTGTCCACTGCAGGATGAAAGCCTCTTCTGCATCTTTTCAACCAACACGGTCCTGAGCATTGGACCAGCCTGGCAGATTATGGTGTATTCCTTCCACAGTGGATAATTATTCTGTAGAATTCTCTATTATAGATTTGTTAACAGCCACTAATTGAATTGCCTTTAAAAACAGCTTAGATACTTTAGCGAAAGGCAGACTGACTCAGAGTTACCTTCAGGTGGTGGCTGCAGGTCTTCAAATGTAGTGGGAATGACCTTAGGAAAAAAAGTCTAAGTGCGCTTCCTGTTTATGAACACCCCAGAACCATCTGAAAAACAAAATGTTGACAAGTATAGCCCTTGGCCTGATTCAGCAGGACTACAGTATTTAGGTTAAGTGGGTGAAAAAATGTGTATGCCTAGATTATTTATTTATTATCTATCAATCCCCATTTGGAACTACCCCTCTCCTTCATAGATTAAAGACGCTCCTTTTCTTCACACCTAAAACTTGTGATGGGTTTCTCATTCTGAAATGGGTTTTTTTAATTGGTTTCAATTGTCTCTTTTATTTGGTTAGCATGCTATATTTTCTAAATTGTTTTGATTATACTAATACAGGCAAACAGCTTTCTGGCCTCCTATTGAATCAAATGTATCAAAGTTATCTCTCCATAAACTCACTATGGGAAAGATGGTTAATATTATAACATGCTGTTTTTTAAATTCACTAAGCTATAATAAAAACAATGTTCATTTTAAAGTATGCCCATCATAAGACAGAAAAAAAAAATGTCTGGATCTTTTGTTGATTTACTTGCTCATCCTCGTTCATGTTTGCCTTGATTTAGGAATTACACGGGCAATTTAATCTACCGCTTGATAGGCCTTATTTCCGAAGAGCTAATGCCTATCACTTTCCTGATGAATCTTTTAAAGATGGTTATCTCAGAAACCCACATCTACATCTCAATCCACCTGGAATAGAGTCTGGTATGGTGAGTTTCCTTTCTCCATTTGCTTGTTCTAATATCAAATCTGACGGCTGCACTTCATGCTTGTCCCAGCATTGAGGGCAGCCCAGCAACCTGTGGAGAAGGGCAGAAACGGATGATGCCGCTGGCTGCTGGGATGCGGACCCCCATCCATCAAAAGTAGCATTTTCCCACTCCAGGACAGTCCAATCTACTTGCTGCCTTTTATTACATACAAAAATATATATTTCTGTTCCATTTGGTGGCCGCTGCTCTGGCGAGTATGCACACCACCCAATCCCCACCTTTGACAGCTTTTGTACTGGGCTGCCTACTGTGAAAGGCTGCCCCTTTGGAGGGGTGGGGGGTGGCTTTCTTAGTATAGGGAATTGTGAAATACAGTTTCTTGTTTTTTAAGAAAACTGGGTGAAATTGAGAAAAATTCTGCCAAGTTTCCTTACTAGCCATGAAATACAGTTTCCACCACCTCACCCCTTCTAAGGGATCCTTTTAAAAGGGGTGAGATAAGAGAAGGAAGGAGATTTGGCATCTGCTTTCCCTGAAATAGTTGGGAGAGGAAAAGAAGCAGGGGGATCCAGCAAGTCATAGCCAGGGTGACCACAGTCTAAAAGAGAAACCCGGGCCATCAGAGTGGTCAGAATGAAGAAATGGGAAGGATTTCGTAAGCTGGCTTCCTTTCCAGCGGCTTTATGCATGGAACTCAAGCAGCGAAAGGTTACAGTGCAGAAAAGCCCTAAGACTGATAGAAGTAGACATTGAGAACAGAAGCTGCAGATACAAATGCCAGATTTTTCTCCCTCTGCCTCTCTGTCAACAATAACAGAAATTAAAAACCATCATTGCCATTGCACTTTTGATTCATATTTGTTCTAGAGGGGTTGACGAGATCTTGTTGGGAAATCTTGCAAAGTTAATTGAGAACAATGTCTTTTTGTAAAGCTTGCTTTTTTAAGGAGAATCCTTGCTCCAGAACTTTAATTTGACAACATAATTGCCATGATATCTTCTGATAGCAGTTACTCCATCTGGAAGCATGAAGGAAAGACGAACTCGTCCCAGGGACTTAATCATCAGTAATGCCCACTCGCAGACTTCCTCCCTAACTTAACTTTATGATTCGTGAGCTTGAATAGTCTTTCAAATATGTAGTCAGTAATTACAAATCATCTTCACTTTCATTATATATATATCGCAGAGGCAACATGTTAATTCTTAAGCAAATGTTACTATTCTGACATGTACAAATTGTGCTCTCTTTTTGGACACAGGTGTATTTAGTGTATGGCACATATAGCTATCATCATTACATGCAAGATTGTATTGATGATAATGGATGGGGCTGTGCTTATCGATCTCTACAGACTATATGTTCCTGGTTCAAGCATCAGGGGTACGCAGACAGAGGAATCCCTACACACAAGGAGATACAACAGGTATAGATGTTTTTT